CACGTCGGACTTCTTCCGCAGGGAGAACACCGTGGTGTAGCGAGAGAAGTCGTCAACGACCACCAGGAAAAATCTTCCCTCTTGGGCCCAGGGCAAGGAGCATGGCCCCAGACGTTTACGTGGAGAGTCCGGAAGGGCGCGGTGGCCGGGCGAAGGGAGGAGGAGTGAGGAGTGGCGCGCAGCCTACCCTCGACGCGAGGAGTGCACGACGGGGCAGGCGAAGGTGGGAGCAACGCAAACGCGAGCGGGAGGCCTGAGACAAGACGCTGACTAGACAGGTGACGGAGGCGTGAGACGGGTGGGTGGCCAAAGCGTTGGTGCCACAGGACGGTCGGGTGGGTGAGAGACCGACAGGAGCACGATGCGGCAACCTGACCAGACGCAGTTACCTGGGGAGACGCTGTGTGCAGTGTGAAGATACATGAGCGGGGCTCGCAGCGATACGTGGCCAGACTAACCCCAGTGGCATCGTCCATGCAGGTCGCTATACGCTTGTGCGGAGGAAACCAGGTGCTAGCACGGAGGTCTTGAAGGGGTCCCACACCCACTAAGTTCCTGAAGAATGAGGGGATGTGAACTTCGGTGAGGACACCAGAGGGGGCAGCAGGGCACGGGAGGGCGGTAGAGCTGTGGGCAACAGCTGGTCCTAAAGTAGGATCAGCCAGTGCAATCGGAACCAGAGCAAGAAGCGGTGTGACAATCGTGTGGTCGCGGACGAAGCACTGAGACGCGCCAGAGTCGAGCGTGAAGGAGAGCGACGCGTCAGTTGCAGGTACACCTGGGCTGGTAACTACACACGCACCTAGACTGGAATCACGTCGGAGTGAGTAGCAAACAAAGCCAGAGTGTCTAGACTGGGAGTGGCGTGCAAGCCCTAAAACTACACTTTGGAAAGAAGTGTTCAGTACCCAAGATAGGATGCGGCCTCCAGCCGCTGCGGAAAGAGTCACCAAGAGCACGGGCCGGTAGGGGAGGCTGCAGTAGGTGCGTGTAAGGGGACAATCGCGGGTACCTGCAGCTGCAGGCACTATAGGTGTTGCACGGGCGGTTGCTGCTATGCGTGCGGTAGATGTTGCGTGGCTGATAGTGTCAGAAGTATTAGGCAGGAATGAATTAACTATGAGGGAGTTGGGTACAAGTATGAAACCCTAAAAGGGGCTGTACCCCATATTGGCTACCCCACTACAGCCTACACATGTATAACAAGCATATGCTTTGACACACCCCCATAGGCAAAGTGGGGGAGAGCAAGAGAAGCAAAGCAAGCTTAGGGTAGATCACAACGTCACCACACACTCTGAGCACAAGCAAAGGGCCACAAGGCCAGTTCACATGCAGAGGCATATATGCAACACAGACAGCACAGTGATCTCTACCTAGCAAGGCAAGCATGCAGGTATAGATATATAGATCCCAGTACAAGCAAAGCCTACAGCAAGTGAGGAAAAGTGGGCACAAGCCCTAGCAAAGTGCAGAAACGCTGATGATCACCAGACTGAAGTGCCTTGGTGAATATATCAGCAGTGTTGGCCCGAGTGGCCACGTAACGCAGACGAAGCTGACCACGCTGCTGCAACTCTCGAGCCAGGAAGTAACGCAGAGCGATGTGCTTCGTTCTGTGCTCCAGTCTGTGCTCCTCACACAAGGCAATGGCTGCCTTGTTGTCGACGTACAGCACTGGAGGAGAACGAGGCCGCTCTCCCAAGTCGGTCAGCAGGTAGGTGAGCCAGCGTAACTCCTGTGCAGCCATGGCTGTGGCGTAGATCTCAGCCTCACAACTGGAGCTGAGAACTGAAGACGAACGTGTAGAACGCCAAGAAACTGAGCCAGAGCCAAGGCTGAAGGTGTAACCCTGTGACGACCGCTGAGTAGTCTGGTCGTCAACCCAAGAAGCGTCTGAGTGTCCAGTGAGAACAACTGAGCTCCTCCCTCCAAGCACGAGCCCCATGCCTGATGTACTGCACAAGTAGTGCAGTACCCGCTTAGCAGCATCCATGTGCACCTTTCGGTGCCGACCAGGAGCCACGTAGCGAGCCAGAAGGCCAAGAGGGTACGCGAGGTCAGGACGAGTGCAAGTCATCAGGTACATGAGGCAGCCAACTAGCTCTGGGTAAGGACCACTCGGCTCTACGGACTCGTCCGAAGGTGGAGCTGAGAGCGAGTGACCTGTAGCCAGAGGAGTGGCCTGTGCCGAGGACCAGGTGAAGCCGAAGCGCTGAAGGACCTGCTGCACCATGTGTGACTGAGTCAGTGTGATGGTGCGGCGTGCTCTGTCCCGGGTGATCCGCAAGCCAAGATAGCTTGTCAGCTCACCCAGGTCTGTGCACGTGTGTCTCTTCTGCAGCTCCGACTTCACGTGGGCGAGAGCCTCAGTGTCAGCAGTGGCAAAGACCAAGTCGTCGACGTACACGAGGATGTAGAACGGCGGCAGCGAAGTGTCGGTGCGCAGAAACAGCGACGGGTCAGCAGTCGACGGAGCAAACCCAAGAGCCGCAAGTGTCGTCCTCAGTGTGTCGAGCCACTCACGTGGCGCCTGGCGGAGACCGTAGACCGGCCGCCTGAGGCTCCACTGGGTACCAGGAGGGAACGACCCAGTGAAGCCAGGTGGGCGGCGCAGCCAGATCTCCTCGTGCAGGCTGCCCTGTAAGAAGGCTGTGCTGAAGTCAAGAGAGTGAAGCTCGTAGTCACGCTGAGCGGCAACGTGCAGCAGCACCCGAAGAGTGGTCATCTTCGGGGTGGGGGAGAAGTTCTGGAAGAAGTCTACTCCCTCTCGCTGACTGAAACCTCGTGCAACGTAACGCGCCTTGAAGACAGGCGGAGAACCTGGCGGCCGCTTCACCCTGAAAATCCACATGCCACTGACGATGTTCGCCCCAGGTGGGGGAACCTCGTCGACGTAGGTGCCTGTGGACTTCCAGGATGCCATCTCTGCGTCCATGGCTGTCTGCCACTGAGAGGAGTACTCACCCGCGATCGCCTCAGCGTAAGCGCGCGGGGTCGGGATGTCTGGAGCATCCGGGTCTCCCTCAGGGGCAAGCAGCATGGACACGAGATGAGGCGCAGCGGCTGCAAGACACTCAAGGTCCTCCTGTCTGTCCTCAAGGACGTCTGTGCCAAGAGCACACTCACCCCCGACGGACGGAGGACAGACAGACTCAGACTCAGCAACAAGACTAGCGGCGTAGTCTAGACGACATGCAGCAGCAAAGTCAACAAGCTCAGCAACTAAGGCAGACGTAGCAGCAGACTCAAACGACGGGTCAGTGACAACAGTGGCTAGCAGACGCGTGACAGTAGGGTGCTCAGCACGAAACCGGTCAGACGCGGGGTCCGCAACGACAGGCAGAGAAGACGTAGGAGGGGACGGCAGAGGAACACGCTGTGGAGGAGAGGAAAGACGACGGACTACGAGGTGGGTGTCGGGGACAGCCGGCAGACGCGGACGAGGAACACGACGACCGGACCAACCGGAACGGACAGGCGAGACAGGACGCGACGCAGGCTCACGACGCTCAGTAAGACTCCCTAGCTGCTCAGTGTAAGGAGAAGGAGCAGGCAGCGGTGAACCAGGCTGCAACGGAAGACCAGTAGACGAAGGGAGACTAAGAACCTGGCGAAGCACAGAGTCAGGCGGTGGCTGAGACGACGGAGACGGTGGAGCGAAGAACAGGCGCGGCTGTGCAGCGACACCAGCACCAGCAGCTCCAGTACCCCCAGCAGCTCCAGCACCTCCAGCAGCTCCAGAACCTCCAGCGCCAGCACCCTCAGCAGCTCCAGAACCTCCAGCGCCAGCACCCTCAGCAGCTCCAGAACCTCCAGCTCCAGGGCCACCTGCGCCAGCACCTCCAGCAGCTCCAGAACCCTCAGGGCCAGCTCCTCCAAGACCAGCTCCACCAACAGCAACACCCCCAGAACCGGCACCTCCAGTCCCAGGGTCTCCAGCCTCAGTGCCTCCAGCAGCAGCACCCTCAGACTCAGCACCTCCAGCCCCAGCAGCTCCAGTACCTCCAGTACGAGCACCTCCAGGACCAGCACCACTCCCAGCTCTAGTGACGACAGCAGAAGTACCTCCAGCGGCAGAGCCCCTAGCTCCAGAAGCGCGACCCTGACGGCGACTGTACCAGTCGTGCAGCTGCTGCGAGGTGAGAGGCACACGCGGACGAAGGCGGCTACTCCAAGGAAGCCGCGCAACAGCAGACTCAGAACCCTCAGCGCCAGAACCCGCAGCAGCTCCAGAACCTCCAGCGCCAGCACCCTCAGCAGCTCCAGAACCTCCAGCTCCAGCGCCACCAGCGCCAGTACCTCCAGCAGCTCCAGAACCTCCAGCGCCAGCACCCTCAGCAGCTCCAGAACCTCCAGCTCCAGCGCCCTCAGCAGCTCTAGGACCTCCAGCAGAAACAACTCCAGTGGCAGAGTCACCAGCTCCAGCGCCTCCCACAGCAGGGCCCCTAGCCCCAGCAGCGCGACCCTGACGGCCAGCGTACCACTCAAACAGCTGCTGTGGAGAGAGAGGGAGTCGACGACGAGAGTGCAGCGGCGAGGCACCAGCGGAGCGACTACGGAGACGGCCGCTCCCGGGAGACGGCTCACCAAACGTCTCAGCGCCCCCAGGCGCAGCACCTCCAGTCTCCGCACCCCTAGGCTCCGCACCCCCAGGCTCCGCACCCCCAGGCTCCGCACCCCCAGGCTCAGCACCCACAGGCTCAGCACCCCCAAGCTCAGCACCCCCAGCAGCAGCACCACCCTCAGCAGCACCTGAGTCACCAGTGACCTCAACCTGAGGGGGAGGGTCTACCTGAGACACACCTGAAGGAGCAGGACCGGGAGCGGGGAGGGGGTCTACCTGGGTAGCACCTGGAGCGAGGAAGAGCGGCGGGGGGGAGAGAGGGGAAGTGCGGTAGGGGAAGAGACGGTAAAAGGGAACCGACTCGTCAAACGTGACGTCCTAAGAGGGGAAGACACGGCGCGAGGTGGGGTGGTAAAACTGCCAACCAGGCGCGTCAGGGACAAAGCCAAGGAAGACACAGGGAACAGCGCGGGCGGAGAGCTTGTCCGCGGTGGTATCGCGGACAAAGGCACGAGAAACCCCAGACCCGGAAACGCGACGCATCGCCAACCTTCCCCGTCCACAGCAGTGTGGGCGAGGTCTCCGGCAAGGAGACACGGGGCCAGAGGTTGAGCTGATGCGCGGCGTACCGGACCGCAAACGGCCACAGAAAATGGGGGGCAGCCGCATGGACCATGGAGGTACGAGCGACCTCCATGACCAAGCCAATGCGGCGCTCAGCAACCCCATTCTGCTGCGGAGAGGCCGGAAGCGTGAACGACTGGGTGATGCCGTGCTCCGCACAGTAGGCTGCCAAGAGGTCTGAGGAGAACTCACCACCTCTGTCAGAGTGCAGACGCAGGACAGGAAAGTCCGACTGGAACCGCTCGCGGAGCTGGAGACGAGCAGCGCGGATCCAAGGGATCAAAACATCAGGGACCTCACCCTTGGTGCGCAAGGGGAAGACCGTGGTGTAACGCGTGTAGTCGTCGACGACCAGCAGGAAGTACCGCTCGTGGCCCTGTCCACGGACGCGGGCTGGGCCCCACACGTCCAGGTGGAGAGTCTGCAGGGGAGCCTCTGTGGGAGGGAACGAGGAGGAGTGAGGAGCGGCGCGCTGCCGCCCCTCGACACAGGGAAGACAGGGAGGAGCAGGCGAGGGTGGGAGGGGAGGGAGAACCCTGGGAAGACCAGAGACAAGGTACCGACGGTGCATGCTGCGAAGGCGCTGCACCGAGGGGTGACCAAGGCGGTGGTGCCAAAGAAGGGTCTGGTGCGACAAGGCGCGACACGAGCAGGGGGCCGACAACTGACCTGACGCAGACGCAGACGCAGCTACCTGAGGGGACTCAGTGGTCAGGGTGTACAGGCTCGAGCCAGGCTCACGGGTGAACGTGGCCAGGTGCCGGCCCGTCCGAGCACACGTACAGTGAGTCACTCGCTGACGCGCAGGAGTGAACTGGTCAACCCCCCCATCCTGGAGGTCAGCTCCACTCACCAGGTTCGTAGAGAACGAGGGGAGGTAGAGACCTGACAGCAAGCCAGACGGGGCGGCCGGACACGGCAGCACTGTGGAGTAGTGGGCAAGGACTGGACCCCCAGAGGGGTCTGCCAGGGAGACTGCAACTGGCCGACTAAGCGGCGTGAGTGTGGTGCAGTCGCGAAAGAAGGAGCGGGAAGCTCCTGAGTCAAGGGTGAAGGTGTGCAGGGTCGCAGCAGGCGACGTACCAGAGAGGGCAGACTCACCAGCACCTGAAGCAGCAGCCTCACCAGCACCCAAAGCAGGAGACGCACGAGCACCTAGAGCAGCAGCCTCACCAGCACCTAGAGCAGGCGACGCACTAGCACCTAGAGCAGCAGCCTCACCAGCACCTAGAGCAGCAGGCTCTATACCTGGGTAAGGCGGTACGCACAGGTAACAGGCACGGGCAGCACTAGTAGGCAATGCATACATGGCAGTGAGAATAGCAACATAGTCAAGAGCAAATACATCTACTCTCTGCCCAAGCAGCTCCACCCAGTCGGGGAGCTCAGCCTCGTCGCCAAACTCGGTACGCCAGGCGTCGCTCAGACGGGCGAAGCAGCGGGACTGTGTGTGACTAAGCGTCCCGCAAGGCTGACCAGTCCGAGCACCAGTGCGAATGACGTAAGGGCAGCGAACGGAACTGAGAGACCCTCTACTCTGAGCGTACCACTCACTAAGCTGCTGGGGAGTGCGAGACTCGCGTGGACGTCGCTGGAGCTGCAGCTGGCCACCGCCAGTAGCAGCAGTAGCAGTAGTAGCAGCAGTAGCAGTGCGGCCACCCCTACAACCCCAACTAGCGTACCAGTCACTAAGCTGCTGGGGCGTGAGGGACTCACGCGGACGTCGCTGGAGCTGCATCTGGCCACCGCCAGTAGCAGCAGGAGCAGTAGTATCAGCAGTAGCAGCAGGAAAAAGCCGTAGTAGCAGTAACAGCCGTAGCAGCAGTAACAGGCGCGACAGGCAGGCAGGCAGGTAGGCAGGCAGGCCGGCAGGCAGGCAGGCAGGCAAGCGGCGCGGCAGCGTGCTAGCAAGGCAGGTGCTCACCAGTGGCGGGAAGAGCAGGCTCTCACCGGGCGAGCAGGGCCGGTGCTCGGCGGACGGCGACAGTGTCGGCGCACGACGGCGGCGACAGCGGGGCCGCAGCAGCGGCTACGACAGCGGCAGGTCAGGGCCGGGTCGTGTCAGCGGCAGGGCAGGGCCGCGTCGGCGGCAGGGCCGGGCCGGGTCGTGTCGGCGGCAGGGCGGGGCCGGGTCGTGTCAGCGGCAGGGCGGGGCCGGGTCGTGTCAGCGGCAGGGCGGGGCCGGGTCGTGTCAGCGGCAGGGCCGGGTCGAGTCAGCGGCAGGGTGGGGCCGTGTCGACGGCAAGGCGAGGCCATGGCGGCGGTAGGGTGGCGCGCGCCGCTGCCTGAGGCCGCGCACTGGCGGGTAGAGCGCGGCGCGGGCTGCGCGGACGGCGCGCAGCGCGCTGCGGGCCGCGGACGCGCCGCGCGGGCTCTGGGCGGGCTGCGCGGGGCAGCAGCGGGCCGCGCGTGCGCTGCGCGGGCTCGGTGCGGGCCGCGCAGGGCAGCTGCGGGCCGCGCGCGCGTCGCGCGAGCTCGGGGCGGGCTGCGCGGGGCAGCTGCGGGCCGCGCGCGCGCTGCGCGGGCTCGACGCGGGCTGCGCGGGCCGTGCGCGGGACGCGACGCGGCTGCCGAGGCGCGCTTCGGGAAGGAGAGGGCGACCCGCGGGGGAAAAACGAGGCAGTGAGCTAAAATTAGGTCTGCGCGCGAAGCAGCAGCAGACAGCTCATACAGCAGACAGCAGGCAGCAGGCAGACAGTGCGCGCAGTGCAGCACGTCCTAGGCACAGTGACAGGCACAGTCGTGGGGTAGCGGTAGGTGGGCCCGAAAAAAAAGACGGTCCTACGGACCTACTGCTCTGAAACCATGTCAGAAGTATTAGGCAGGAATGAATGAACTATGAGGGAGTTGGGTACAAGTATGAAACCCTAAAAGGGGCTGTACCCCATATTGGCTACCCCACTACAGCCTACACATGTATAACAAGCATATGCTTTGACAGATAGTGCGCGTGGAGCTGCGCGTGTGCATGCGGCTGCTGTTGCGCGCGCGCCTGCAGGTGTGCGCGCAGCTGCGCGTGCGGCTGCTGCTACGCGCGCAACTGCTGCTGCGCGGGCAGTCGTATGTGAGCGGATGCGCGTGCAGCTGCGTGTGCGGCTGTGTGTGTGCGTGGCTGCGCGTAGGCGTGCGCGGCTGCGCGCGAGCAGCTGCGTGCGGGGCGGGACAGGTAGCGGGGCGTCACGGGACGGGACGGGTAGTGGAACGGGAAGGGGACGTGACGGGTAGCGGGACGGGACAGGATGGGCTAAGCTGGGGTCCTAGGGTCCCACCTGATGATACCATCTCAGAATATGAACACTGGAGTGAAATGACTAGCAAGTGTTGTGATACAAATGCCAACCCTAGAATGAGCTGTACTCCCTACTGTCTACCTCACTATAGCCTTCCATACACACATATACAGTTTGACATAAATATCTCGTAGTTTGTCTCCTTGGAGTCAAGGCAGTTAGCGCAGGGCATAAAAAGCTAAACCCTACCTGGATGCGATCCTCTGCCCACGGGCCTTGACAGTACCTCAGCAACCAAGACTCGTCCCAATGCAAATGCTTCTACCGTGCTTACAGCTTACAGGCCAAGTTTTTATTTCAAATTGATAATAAACACAATCTACTTTGTGTACAGTATACGACACTAAGTGTACCTACACGCAGCTCTCCTGGCCCTGGCACATTGGCCTACAGCATCCCATCTCTTCATGCCCTGCTGCTTGTACTGGCTATACACCTCAGGTTTGATACACTCCGTCCACACGTTGCATCCTGCAGGCTTGTGCTGCAAGCAGTTGGCAAATGAGTAACTCGGCCCGTTTCCCAAGTCCAGGTCGTATAGGCGGGTTGTGAAGCCATGTGCATTGTTGTCAGCGCACATTGCCTGCGCGAGGTCAGGATCAAGAAACAGTCAAGGGTAAGAGATGGGGTGGTAATTAGGATAATGCTTGACTACACTTGATTGATTGCCAGTATTGGTGTGTGGATGGTGCTAGGTTATAACGCAGTAACACAAAAAGGAGTGGGATTTAAGATACTCTCATGCAACACAACCAGCCTGTGACAACCATATTCAATCCAAGTGGAAGGTGCCTGTAGCTCCACACACTATGCAAGGAACACCTTCTGGTCAACAAACTGATTGGTGCACTCGCAGCCACACATGCTTCTCTGGTACCTGCCACTCCCCACCATGTAATAGTTACACTTCCACTCTCCCCCCCAACCCTAGGACCCCCTGAAGTGCTCCAGCGATTTCCGTACCAAGCCACAAACACCGTCAAGACACAGCGCCATACCACTTCTCACCCCTCCGGTCAGAGTGCTGATTGCACTCTTCCTTCATTCCTTCATTCCATGAATGATGGTAACTCACCTGTGGGAATCGAACGCCGTTCTTCACCCACACGGTAGGGCCCCAGCTCTCCACATACTCACCCACAGACAATGCCTTGTTGCGAAGAAAAGGCTCATTGGAATAGACGCAGACGTCTTTAACATTCATCGCCACTCTCCGCCACACCAATGCATGTACACCCTTCCACTATTCCCCTCCCCCCTCCCCCCCTCCCAAAAAAAAAATCACCTGTGGGAATTGAATGCCGTTTTGCACTCCTGCTGAATTGCCCCAGCTCTCCACATACTCAGCCACAAACACCGCCTTGTTGCGAAGAATGAACTCGTTGGCATAGTCGCAGCCATACTTGCCGCTGTACCACTCTCCACCGCTCCAATCCGTGTACTGGTTGCACTCTTCAAAAAGTGCCCAGTCAAACAGGTCGGCCATGTGTGAGGGAGCGAGGGTGCCAGGGTTCTTGAGACCCACTGACATGCCGTACCTGATGAGGAGGGGGGGAGAAAGGGGAGTAGAAAATATGGTTTGTTAAATTGGAGCGCTGGGGTTTTTGAAACCCAACGGCATACCATACTTAGGCAGGGAGAACAGCGTGGCAAGTTGGAACGAGGTTTTGAAGGGGAAAAAAGGGGGAGGGGAAGGGAGAAAAGGGGAGGGGGGGGGTTGGTTTGTGGCCCACTTGACATGCTGCATCGGATAAGCAAAGTGGGATTGGAAGGGAGGTGCTTAAGAAAAAGGAGGGGAGAGGGATGAAGCAAATGAGCGACTCTCAGAGCTGGTTACGAAATGAGGCAGGTGGGAGTTAGGGAAAGGGTCAGAATTCATGAGTCCAACTTATGGTTCATGGTTTAAGGTTGAAGGTTGAATCGTTTCATGATGATGACAAAATTTAGCAGCAGGTGAGCTCACTTGTGCACTGTGTTTGCAATCCACGAGTTGAAGTTGAACTGGTCCTTTTTCGTAATGGTGAAATGGCTGATGGCGTTCACCATAATGTTTCCATTGTATTCATCCACATTGTCCGGCTCGATGCCATCGCACCCCTTGCGCTTCGCCAGCTGTCAAAGGGATGGGACAAGCGACCACAGGCAGTCGATGGGACAAGTCAGGACTTAGTAGACCATGAAAGGCTGACGCAAAAGATGGTCTCTCACATTCTTCTCTCGAGCTATGCGTGTTTGATGCACAATCCGCTCAAAGACCTGCTTCAAACTCTTCGCACCTGAATCCGCTTTTCCAGTATTTGACGCACAGCAGTCGTCTTCACGTCCAGCCATCGCTCGCCCTGCCAGGCTTCCGAGCAGTCCTCGTTCTGCCAATGAAGGTAAGGTAAACGATGAAGGGCTGGTGTCAAGAAGCGAAGCTCGTAATGTCGTTGACGACTGAACGAGTCTTCTCTATAAAACTTCACTGATAACGCGTGTAAGCTATTTGCATTCCAACTCACCTGGCAAACCATTCCACCGAGAGTGGATCTCGGAAATTGGTTGTAATCGCTGCGGTAATCCTCGGCAGTCCCGAAGCTGAAGTAGCAGAACACCTTCTTCCCCATCGTTTTCAACCTTGAGATAGTGCTCGCCGAGACGCTGAACCCGTCGATATCGAATATCTTTTCATTATGCGACGACGCCTCGAGGTTCGTCTCAGAGATCTGCCAGTAGAAGGACGTTCCCGGCGGGGGGACGTACCATCCGTTGCTCGTGACGTTAACAGCGAGGCAAACTGCGATGAATGTCAGAGAGACGACCACGCGAAAGAGTCTTGCGATTATAGACATGGCGGTAGAGTTTCGGTGTTTGAGAGGTCAAGAGGCGGTACTACGTTGCGCGAAGTGAGTCGTGCAGGTAATGTGTAAGGAGGCGGAAAGAGTTAGTGCTTTGTCTCTGCCACGGCCAATGCATCTGATTATAAGCGATCATCTGGCGCTCCGGCGCTTCGGCTTGTGTGCCTGCCGAACCGCAGCGGGGAACATCGATACTGTGAAAGCCACTCGTTGCACTAAAGGAACCTTCATGGCTTGCATAAACCAACAAACCCTTTCTCCGGTCCTCATGCCACGTGGCGAGGCGCATTGTTCCTCTGATAACGACGCTCCAGTGAACATGTTCAGGCTTCGCGTTGAAAAAAATATCGTGAATGGGAAGAAAATTATTGGTGCTTGGTTCACGGAGGAAGCCGAAAAGCAAGGCGCAGGCAGGAGCGACGTTGCTGCTGCTGAGCCTCATCCGCCTGGGTGCGACGTCGCTCCTGCCAAACCGCTGCCTCTCGCTTTCCTGTTGCAGCTCTGATGTTGGGGGGGTTGAAAAAAAGAAATGTGGAGACTCCAAGGGCGAATGGCCAGCCGTTACGGTCTGACAATAGAATTCATACGTGGTTGTAATACATTATTTCGCCTACGAGTCATTCAACAAACACTCCTATAGCGGATGAATGTAATCCCCACCCAAACCACCCCATCTCCCTCAGGTTGGTTTTCATCGAGGAGAAATTTGTTGGTCACCAGATTTCTTGCATCGCCGCCTCAGACCAGGCAGATGTGGGTGGCTCTGACCAGAAAATCTGCTGCGTGTAACACACTCCTACAAGCTGCTCGCGAAAAGAGAAGGATTCAGCTTTGCGAACAAATTGCCCTAGCTATACAATTGCGACCTCGTCGAGCGAGATCCCGCGAGCCGATTACTCTGGCGAGAAACAACTTGCTATCGCGAAGCCCACCTTCCACACCCTGACGAACGAAAGCGATCTGCCTGTTATCTATCCAAAGCCGAAGTCGAGCCGAGAGTCCGAAATTCAACAGACGTAGCTTTTCTTGGAGAGTTTCCGTGAAACTCGCTTCGCGGTTTGCCACGTCGCATGGCTTACGCTCCCATGCGACTCGTTCCACACGACGGCACACTCCAGAACTTATATTTCTCCTGGATTGTACCGTAGATGTTTCAGAAAGAAACCAGATCACTACCGCGCTGACAGCAGTCTGCTAAGCTGATACGATTGCTCCGAAACAACCACTATGGCTTTAATCCGCTTCCATCCTAGCATCCTCGCCCTCCTTGCCGTTCTTACAATGTGCCATTGTGGGAGAGCTAACGGGTGGTATGTGCCGAAACCAGGGACCACGTTCTTCTGGCAACTAAGCGGAACAGATGCTGGTACTATTGATTGTTCGATTTCTTCGTATTGTCTTTGTGAAACCTTCTTTGCAACTAGCTTCGTTATGCAAAGATCTAGCATTCTCGCATTGTCGGTTAGCTGATATTAGAAACTATCATTCGCGTTCAAGTTCTGATTGTTCGTACATGCTTCTTTCGGAACCCCATTAGACGTGGATCCAACGCACCCGGCGACGGTCTACACCGTTGACTTCAGCCTGACGGCGAAGAGCATCGCGAAACTTCGCAACGCGGGAAAGGTGGTGATGTGTTACATCAGCTTTGGGACCGCCGAGGAATACCGCAGCGACTACAACCAGTTCCCGAAATCCGTTATTGGAGGGCTCGCTTGCATGGTATGATACCTGATATTGACATTTTCTATCAGTCCACAGGCGTTATGGATTCTTTCTTTCCCTTTCCAGCGATTCAAGAATCACCTTTCGCGGTTTTGACAGGCTTATGTCGAAAAAAAACTGATTACGTTTTTCGTTTTCGTCATGTGTCGACGAAATGCTTTCTGTTCACAAGTGAGTCGTGGAGCTTGGTGTAGTCCCCCAACCCTCTGCCCCTCCCTGTTCCTCCTCCCTTTTTTTTTAATTGAATCCCTTCACTTTCAATGTTTTCAGTCCTCCACCCTTCCACCTCCAAAAACAATCCCTTATAGGCCACCCTTGTCTCGTTCCCCCACCCGTCTTCCCTTCCTTCGTCACATGCTCCCTCCACTTCCCCTTCTCCGCACCTCCCTCATCAGGTACGGCATGTCAGTGGGTCTCAAGAACCCGGGCCCGCTCGCGCCCTCCTTCATGGCGAACCTCTTTGACTGGGCGATCATCGAGAGCTGCATTTACTTCAGCGACTTTAGCAACGGCGAGTGGTACAGCGGCAAATACCAGTGCGACTACTCCAACGAGTTCATTGTGCGCAACAAGGCCGTGTTCTCTATCGAGTATAAGGAGCTCTGGGGGACGTCTGCGAGCCAAGTGAACGGAATCGCATTCCCGCAGGTCAGTGTGTGATGTATGTGTTGATAGCCAGACGCAACATTCCCTATATGGTTAGTCAGAAACGAGGTGAGGGTCTCCAAGGTTCAGGATGTTCTTTTCTGCAGCGGCTCTCCATTCAGTCCCCTTGCTCTCGCTGAACAGAGCATGGGCGAAGCCAGTAATGCTTAAGAACATGAGCAGAGCGAACTCAAAGACTGCCGCCGCTCTCCTCTTTCCATCCTTCCCCTCTTCTACCACCTCTCATTAACACGAACCATGTGTGCAGTCGGCAATGCCCAAGGGCTCAACTTCAACTTTTGCAATATGACTTTTCAGTCATCTCAAAGTCACCCCATCTCCCTCTCTCTCCACTTCTTCCACCTCTCTCTCTCTCGTCAGGCCTTTTGTGCAATCAGCAACGCTCACGGCTTCAACACCAACCTCTGCAGCTACTCCCTGGGCACCGGCCCGCGCTACCCCTTTGCCAACTGCCCGCTGCACAAGCCTGCAGGGTGCGATGCTGTGTGGAAGGAGTGTGTAAAGCAGAGTGTATATGCGCAGTACAAGCAGCAGGGCATGGCGAGGTGGGATGCTGTGGGGCAGTGCATGAGGGCGAAGAGAGCAGCTTGCAAATACAAGGCTAGAACGAGGAGGGATGTTATTGTTGGGGAATAGAGCTGGGAGAAAAAAGAAAGCACTGGTGGGATTTGGATAACTTTGCACAACGCTGCACAGACAAGCTTTCGGCATTGCCTTGATTATGGAATGACCGCCTTCTAACATAATATACAATTCAGGAAATAACACACTCCTCGTTAAGATGGCCAGTCACCAATGTAATTGTTGCTAGGGGAAGCTGATGTCTGGAGCTATTGATGACCAAGAAGTTGGAGTCGCGAGTGTGTGGCACCAAGACATCTTCACTAACAAGAACTATAAAGACGATGAGCGTGGTATTGCCGCCACTGCTTTGCGACATCTGCATGGGAGTGCTGATAGTTTTGCTGAACCAATCTCCATGGGGCACACTCTTACGACAGCTGGGATCCATGCCAGCTGTCATGATAGACTTAAAGCTCAAGTATACATTTGTAAGCGGGGTTTAGGGTTTGTCAGTTTGCCTCACGGTTTTGGGGCAAAGTTTCAAATTTCAAAAGATTTTGAACCCCTTCCTTCAAATGTATACCAAAGCTTTAATGTTCTTGGATGGAGTCCCGTGAAAGACCAGCTCTGCTTTTCCCATCGTTCCTGGACGAAACTTTTGAAAAACCTTTCCTGCAACATACAACCGTCCACACCACACCACACAAACCAGCATGTGAAAGCTAAGAGAAAAAGTAACACCCAGTCCTCTCTTCTATCCCCCACACGCCCTCCCCTCGTCCTCCCTCACTCCCCCACTTTTCCTGCCAAATTAAAAAGATGATGGGTGCATGCTATGAAACTAGTACATTCGGCAAGACACTTACCAAGAACGTCTATAGCATCACACAGTGAAAGGTCTGCAAGAGTTTTGGCAAGTTGGTAAACAAGGGAAGTATCCTTGGTGAAGAAGTGCCTTGGCTTGATAGACACAATGGAATGAGTACGTTTGATTGTGTCTTTGATTGCTGCTTTGATGTAAGCTTCCGAAATACCAGTCAGGACTTTCATCCATATCTGCTCAGGTACGTACATTAGAAAACCAAGGTCAGGTTTCCTTCGGGTAAATGGCAAAGGCTTACGGTAGTAGAGTACGTACAAAAACTCCCACGGAATTGTTGAGCTCCTTCACGTTTTCAATGCCAAACTGCGGAACCATTTGAATGTCTATCCTTCGTCCGTCTTGCGTCACCTCCTCCATAGTCCTCAGAACAATCGTTGATTTGGAAAGAGCAACCGTTTGCTTACCATTAACGGCTGCCTCGAGAATTTTATGACAGGTGAAGGAATCAAATGGTTCAAAAATGCCATTGACAGAGCGATAAATTCCAGGCAGCATCGTGGCTTTCTCTGTTCAATACTAGAACGAGATTGACAAGTTCAAGCAAAAAACGAGAGGAACGATATTCTGACACCCGGCAATGGAGGCTGGACGCTATATCGTTTAGACGCCATGGCGAGACGCTCTCCGTTCCCGATGATCCGGGTATTGGAAGTGCGTGAGACAGTAAGGACAGGAGCTGGACGCAACATCGGCCAGCATTTTGACTCTCTCGGGAGTGTTGGTTCCCTTGGTAGTGAGGTTGGGAGGGACGAATCTCGTGATTCACAAAAAACGAGGGCGCGTTTCGTCTGGCAACCGTATGTAAACCTCGCATCGCGTACAGTTCAAGATTGAGCTGCGAGAATTGCAGCGAATGTGTAATTTCCACTTGCATGTGCGACTCAGGATATTCCCTCGGCAAAATAGTTACTATCTACCTGAAAACCCTTCGCTCCCAGCTCCAGAAAATTCTACCATAACTGAAAACCTATCCACAAGCGCACAACAGTCAGTTCCCATCTGTGCAAGGCCTACAAAGCGATTCTATATGTTGAACACAGTGCAGACACACATTCTAGACATAACACCCATGCACACATAATTAACACATCCAAACATCTACCTTACATCCATTTTATTACGCTCCCATTCTATCTCCCAGGTCAGTAGCCGTAGTCAAGTGAAGTGGACGGCCTGGCCTCATTCTCATCCCAGTCCATCTCCTCCTCTGCTGTCGATGGCCTTCCCTCCTCTGCCTCCGCTGAAATCGCCTTCACAGGCACATCCAGCTGCGGGGGCTTCTGCTCACAAGAGAAAGGGGTAGCAAGAAATAACGGTGGAAGAAAGAGAGGCAAAGCATGTTTCCGCTTTCTGAAATGGTCTTCACTAAAACATCCAGCTGTAGGGTTTTCTTGCTCACATGGGAGGGTGTGGGTGAGAGAAGGTGAGAGAGAGTGAGTGTGCGAGAGAGAGGCGGAGAGGGTGAGTGAGAGGTTGAGAGAGCATGGATAGGATAGCTTATTTAGCCATGTCACGGATAAGAGGCCACTCAATGGACTTGAAGCAGGGGCGCGCTCGGATTTCAACGGCACCGTGCGAGAGTGTGCGATAGTGTGCAATAGTGAGAGTGAGCGTGTGAGGAAGTGTGCAAGCAAAGAGAGGCACTAACCATGTCGCGAATGAGAGGCCACTCAATGGACTTGAAGAAGGGGTGTGATCGGATCTCAATGGCGCCGTGCTTCGCCCCCAGGCGGTCCGCCGGGTCCCTCTGCAGCAGCTTGCGCATCAGGTCCTTGGCCTCATCCGATACCTGTTGTTGGGGGAGTGGTTGACATGCGAAATACACTTGTATTGAGACGTGACCAAGCAAACCTGCTTTCATTCGCCCCCAGGCGGTCCGCTGGGTCCCTCTGCAGCAGATTGCGCATCAGATCCTTCGCCTCATCCGATACCTGTCGTCCAGGGGCAATAACAGTGAAGGGCGGGGAGGGAGGGGGGTTGTTTGATTAACTGGTGGGTCGCCCTATCCCTCTGCAGCGGATTGCACATCAGATCCTTGGCCTCATCAACACAGTGATCATAGGTCGACACAGACAAGTGTTGAAACAAAAACGTACCAGGGGGTTAGCAGGGAAGGCAAGGTCCTTGGTGAGCACGTTGGTGAAGGTGCGCTGGCGAGGTGTGGTGAGGTGACCTGGTGACTGTTGGTCAATCTAAACAACTCATCAACCACAAACTCACCGGCGGGTTAGCGGGGAAGGCGAGGTCCTTGGTGAGCACGTTGGTGAAGGTGCGCTGGCGAGGTGTGGTGAGGTGACCTGGTGACTGTTGGTCAATCTAAACAACTCATCAACCACAAACTCACCGGCGGGTTAGCGGGGAAGGCGAGGTCCTTGGTGAGCACGTTGGTGAAGGTGCGCTGGCGATTGCGCCCGCGGAAGGGACTGCGTCCGTACAACAGCTCGTACAGGAAGATTCCTGGAAAACGGGGAGAGGGGGTTTGAGGGAGCATGTCAATGGATTGAAAGGATTACTAACGAGTTTTGCCATATCTCAAAGCTCGGAAACACAATGTCAATGAATATATAAACAAACGATTAAATAAACAAACACAAAAGATGTTGCTCGATGCCTCTGGATTCCATTGGACTTGTGGAGTTGTTTGGCTGTGACCTTAACCACACCACTACCAAACACTAGCATGGGCACTCACCGAAGGTCCACCAGTCGACAGGGCTGCTGTGCCCGGTACCGCTGATGATCTCCGGGGCAATGTACTCCTCCGTGCCCACAAAGCTGTTGCTCGTTGCCTCTGGCTCGGCCACGAGCACGGGCAGCAGCTCCAGCTCCAGCTCGGTAGGAGACGGGCCCTTGGTGGCGCCTCCGCACCCCACCTGCGCCGCCTTCTTCTTGCGCTTCTCGAAATCCGGAGGCACAGGGGGGGACTCCAGCTGGTGAATGCACGGGATGGGGTTGAACGGGGTGGAAAGCGGTGAAATTGGGTACGGGAATTGGGTAAAAAGCAGCAGTTAGAGCAGCACCAGCCAGTGCCCTGCCTCTGGCTCGGCCACGAGAACGGGCAGCAGCTCCAGCTCCAGCTCGGCAGGCGACGGGCCCTTGGTGGCGCCGCCACACCCCACCTGGGCCGCCATCTTCTTGCGCTTCTCGAAATCAGGCGGGACAGGTGGGAACTCCAACTGGGGCACACAGGGAAGGGTGAAAGAGAAGGAGGGTGCGGTTGAAAGAGGTGAAGGGAGGTAGGCGGGGGTCAACGGTAGGTGTTAGAGCTGTTGCTGTTGGCCTCTGCGTCCATGCTCAAGGATAGGTCAACGCCAGTCAATCAAGTCAACGCTGGTCAACAAAGTCAACGCAGGCAGGCAGGATCATCACATACCTTGGGTTTGCACTCGGTGCTGAAGGAGAGATCGAAATCGGTGAGCATGGCATGGCCCGACTCCTGAACCAGCACGTTCTCGGGCTTCAAATCACGGTACACCACTCCTGCAATTAATCAGGTGTGGTTGAGGCAGAGGGTTTGGTGATTGAGTTTATGGTTTAGTTTGGGGTTTCAGTCGACTAACATGGCATGGCCCAACTCCTGCACCAACACGTTCTCGGGCTTCATACCAAGTGCATCCCATGTGCATTCCATATTTACCATGTGTATATTCACCCACCTTGGCAGTGCAGGTACTCCAGTGCCAGCAGCACTTCAGCGACGAAGAAGCGTGCAGCAGCCTCGGGCAGGCGCTTGCCCTTCTGCTTCTCCAGAATGCCATACAGCTCGCCCCCCGCGCAAAACTCCGTGATCAGACACACGTGCGTGGCGGTCTGGGGGGGAAACCAGGGAAGGGAGTTGGGGGAAAGGAAAGGAGCGCGTTGAGACAAGGAAACTGGCTGGTTCTGAGCGTATCAGAGCAATCCCTTCTGCTTCTCCAGGATGCCGTACAGCTCGCACTAGGCGCAGAACTCCGTGATCAGACACACGTGGGTCGCGGTCCGGGGTTAGGGGGGGACACAAAACACTAGGAAGAATGCACAGACGAGAGGGATTACCAGGTGTACGGGGTATTCTAGGCGCTATTTAGTGCAGGTCGTACCTGGAAGGAGGCGTAGAGCGTGGGCAGGAAGGGGAAGTCGATGCGGCCCAGAATGTCCCTCTCGGTGCAGGCGCGGTGCACCTTGTTGCGATTCACCATCACCTCCTTGTCCATCGCCTTCATTGCGAACAGACGGGCCGTGTCCCTCAGCTCCACCAGATGCACACTGGAAGAGTGGGAGAGACAGAGAGGGAGAGGTAGAGAGGCGGGAAGGGCAAGCAAGCATGGGTGGGCGGTTGACCATCACCTCCTTGTCCATCGCCTTCATTGCGAACAGGCGCGTCGTGTCCCTCAGCTCAACGAGATGCACACTGGTGATGGAGAGACATATTGGAGAGGCAGACAGACAGGGGGAGAGAGGGGTGTGTGGGTGGGCAGTTCACCATCACCATCACCTCCTTGTCCATCGCCTTCATTGCGAACAGGCCGGTTTGTGTCCCTCAGCCAGATGCACGCTGGCAGAGTGGGATACAGGGAGAGAAGAAAGGCGATTCAAAATGGTTAGATAGGTAGGTAGGGTGAGAGGGTTCACATCACACCATCACCTCCGCACTTCAGCTGCTTTCAGGCTTTGTTACAGCTGCCCGCTCACCTGCCCGTGCCCCTCAGATTCAAATCGCTGGAGTACAATTGCTCTAGGCCTTGTTATAGCTGCCCGCTCACCTGCCCGTGTCTCCAGCGCCCAGAGGCTTGATTGGTCGGAAGTGCTTCAGGCTGAGCTTCCCGTCCTTCTTGATCACCTGATGGGCCGCACATGAATGCAAGCACACACGCACACACACACATGAACGCACGCATGCACACAAGCAGAGGGCACACAAGGAGAGGCACAGGAACAGGCAGAGGCTTGATTGGTCGGAAGTTCTTCAGGCCAGATTTCCTGCCCATCGTTATCACCTTACAGACAGCACTTATTCAATCAGCTCACCTCCTGAATCGCCTGCCACGCAGGCGACCCTGAAGCACCATATATTGCATAGAAAAATTTACACACACGTATTGAATCAGCTCACCTCCTGAATGGCCTGCCATGCAGGGTCACCAGTCTTGTGCGGCTTGATTGCCACTGGCGCCGTGTGCACGGCCCACAGGTCCCCAGCGGCCTGCAGAGAAGGAAATGGGGAGAAGAAGAGAGACATGAGAGTACTAGTGAGTGTCCTGCCACTTGACTGCCAATGGCGCCGTGTGCACTGCCCACAGGAGGAAAGGGAAAAGGGAGAGTGAGGATGTGTGAGGGAATAAAAGTGAGACGAGAAAGAATTGGGAGGGAGAATGGCGGAGAGAGGAGGGAGGGAGGAGGGAGAGGGAGAGAGCAAGAGGGGGGTTGGGGGTTGGGGGGGGGAGGTAGAGTGGAGAGGAAGGACCAAGGTGAGGAGGGAAGAAGGGAGATGGAGGAGGGAGTGAGGACGAGAGGGAAGGGTGACTCACAGCACCAGGGTCGGCAAGCTCTCTGACTGCTCCCTCCACATTGTTGGCTGCTTCCAACACCTGCAGAGGGACGGGGGGGGGGGAAGACACAACACAACAGAGGACGAACGGCAGCGGAGGAGGGAGGGCAAGGGCAGGTGAATGAGAGGTGGCAGTACACAGGCAACGGCATGGGAATCCGTAAGCTCTCTCACTGCGGCCTTCGCGTTGTTGGCTGCTTTCAACACCCACCCACACACTGCGGCAAAGTTTTGACCTGCGGACTCGCAATCTACTCTCCCTCCCTCGACTGCCAGCTTCTGCAGCCCGTGAATGGACAACCAGACTTTCAACAGGTGACACGGTAGCACAATAACACGCTGCATCGGGGTAACCCATCCATGGCACTCACAATCTTCAATCTTCTCCCCCTCGACAGCAAGCTTCTCCTGCAGCCCGTGGAACGAGGGGTCGACGTACTGGGAAGCACACATGCCAACAAGCATGGTAACCCGTGGCACTCACAATCTTCTCTCCCTCGGTTGCTAGCTTCTCCTGGAGCCCGTGGATTGAAGGATCAACATACTGAGATGCGTCCAGCTGCACTCCTATGAAGTACTGCAGCATGCCCTGTTGCGGTGGAAAGTGGTGCAAGGCGGTAAATAGAGTTGAGAAGAGGTGAAAAATGGTGGAAAGGGATGAAAAGGGGTGTTTGGATAGGTGGATGGAGGGGTCCACGTACTGGGACGCGTCCAGCTGTACTCTGATGAAGCACTGCAGCATGCCCTGTTGGGGGTGAGAGGTGGTGAAAAAGAGGTGAGAAGGGGTGAAACAAGGCGACAAGGGGTGAATAGAGGTGCCTGCATGGTCCACGTACTGAGAGGCGTCCAGCTGCACTCTGATGAAGCACTGCAGCATGCCCTGTTGAGGAGGAGAGGTGGAGGGGTGAAAAGAGGTGAACAGAGGTGAGACGAGGTGAATTAGGTGGAACATATGTGAACACCTACTCACTCGTACACAACCACACTTCCCACAACACTCTATACCACTTGCACCACTCTGCACCGCCACGCACCTTGTTGTCGCGCACGGCCTGCAGATGGAAGAGATTCCAAAACTGCTTGCCTGCAGCAGCAATGCAGTGGGGCAAGGGGGCAAGGATAGATCGAAATGGAGGAGAGACGGGGAAAGTGGTGAGACGGGTGGGGAGGGGAGCAATGCAAAGGTAGCAGAGCGCCAGAAGGGATAAGGAAAATAGACACAGAGAAAGCGGGAGCGGGGCCGGGGAAGGGGGGGGGAGGGGGAGGGGGGCACACAAATTCTTGATTTCACGTGACAAGGTATTCCGCTCACCCGACTTGGTGTAGTTGAGCAGCTGCACCGTGATATCCTCCTCCTTCTTGATGGCATCTCGAATCCTCTGCACCGTCTTGGGATCCGTGTCTGGTCCTTGCAGGAACCTGCCATGCAACAAGCAATAAACACACATGCCATCAACACGCATGCCACCATCGCACATGCCACCATCGCACATGCCATCATCGCACATGCCATCGTCACACATGCGATGAGAAAACAAGGTCACACAGAAAAGCCGGTCTCAGGCACCTACCCCAGAGTGCCCACTCAGGTATACTCTGCCAGCTCAAATCAAACAACTCTCTTAATAGAAGTCTCCTCCAACACCACTAGAACCTCAAACCCGAAGCCTTCAACCCAAAATCTCAAACCCTCAACCCTGGCCTCACCTGCAGTTGCGCCCCAGGATCTCCTCTCGGGAGTACTCCGTGAGCTCAAGGAAATCGTCTGACGCAAAGATCTGCCCACGCAGGGGGATGACAGGGGAGGGGGGCCAGGGAATGGGGAGGGGGGGTTGTTGAGGGAGCTGGCAGGAGTAGGGTGGGGTCAGAGTGGGTGGGGCTGGAAGAGTACTCTGTAAGCTCAAGGAAATCGTCTGACGCAAAGATCTGCCCACGCAGGGAAGGAGGGGGTGATGAGGGAGGACGAGATAGATTAGGGGGCCGACAGGGGTGGACAGGGCAGGGTGAGAAGGTTGGGGGGAGAGTAGGGTGGGGAGAGGAAGAAGGACGGGGAGGGTGCGGGTGGGGAGGAGCGGGAAGAGAGAGGATTCATGAGGGAATTTCAGCACTTGGTGGCAGGGTATAAACAATCCCATGATGGGAAGCGGAGAGACATGAACTCACAGTAGGGTGTTCAGGCGTTCACGGTGGGGAAGGCATGTCAAACCGTGGTCACAGAGGTAAACCCTAAACTTGTGATGGGAATAATCGACACATGAACCCGCAACATGTGAAGTTGAGAGCTCTTGAACAGAGACACATTACTCACAATGGGGTTCTCCGGCAGCCGGGGATCCGTGATCACAGATTTCTTCTGGATTCGCTCCAGAAGCACCACATGCCAGCATGGTCGCCAGGTCAAGCCCCCTCCTCCTTTCACTCAAAGCACCACATGCACCATCAGGCACCGCCCTTCACCCATTCAAACCCCTCCATCCCCTCGCAGCACTCGCATAACTCAGTCAACTCACAATAGGATTCTCAGGCAGGCGCGGGTCCGTGATGACAAAGTTCTTCTGGATTCGCTCCAGCGTGGTCGCCAGGTCAAGCCCCCTCCTCGCCTTGTGGTCGCCCTCGTCCTCCTCCTCCACCGCCTCCATTGCCGGCTCCGACCGCTCCTTCTTGCTGTTAGTGTGGGGGAATTGGGTGGGGGGGGGAGAGGGGGGGGGGAAGGGCGGGGAAGGGGGTGGAAAAGGGGAGGGGAAGTGGGGCATGAATGCCAGGTCAAGCCCCCTCCTCGCGTTGTGGTCCCCAGCATCCTCCTCCTCAACTGCGTCCATTGCCGGCTCCGCCGTCTCCTTCTTGCTGCACGGGGAGGGGGGGAAGAGGGGAGAGAGAGGGGGAGGGGGGGAAGAGGGGAAGTGGGGTATGAGTGCTGAGCAGCTGCTCAGATGTTCCATCTAAGCGGAGTTTGAGTGCAGCAGCTCATCTGAACAGAGGAGGACAGCTCCTCCTCTCGTACTTTGAGGCGCCTCAAAAATGGAACAGCTCCTCCTCTCGTACTTTGAGGCGCCTCAAAAATGGAACAGCTCCTCCTCTCGTACTTTGAGGCGCCTCAAAAATGGAACAGCTCCTCCTCTCGTAGTTTCACCCTTAGAAGGGACACTGCAGCCGTTCGTTCCAGCTACTGCGAGCGAAGCACAACGAATATAAGACGAGCTCTAACAGAGTCAAAGATGGGTGCCACTCACGACAGCAGAGACAAGAGTCCGGATTTGCGCCTCTCACTGCCCTTGCCATCCGCGCCCACCGCAGCTCCCCCCGACCCTTCCCCCTCCGCCTTGGGGGCTTGCGCTCCGCCCTCCGCCTCCCCCCCCCCTTCCGCCTGCAGCGACTTGTTGCCCACCTCCGCCACTAGTTCAGACACCGTGCTCTCCGCCTCCTCCCTCTGGCGGGCTGCGGACGGAAGAGAGTTGAGAGAAAGGAGGAAAGAAGGGAAGGTGAGGGGTGGACAACAAGGGGAGGGGAAGGGACTTGTTCCCCACCTCTGCCAATAGCTCAGACCCTGTGCTCTCCGCCTCCTCCCTCTGGCGGACTGTGTTGGGGGGGGGGGGAAAGAGGGGTGAGGGGGCGAAGTGGTAAGCACGTGGGGTAAGAGAGAGGCGGCTTGTTCCCCACCTCCGCCACTAGCTCAGACACCGTGCCCTCCGCCTCCTCCCTCTGGCGGGCTGCGGAAGGGAGCGTGTGTGGGGTTGGATGGGGAGGAGAAGACGGAGAGGGGGGAGTAAAGGTGAGTAAGGGGAGGGGCTTGTTCCCCACCTCCGCCACTAGCTCAGACACTGTGCTCTCCGCTTCCTCAACACAAAAAGGGAGTGTAACAGGGGGGTAAGCGGAGACGGGGGGTTGCAGAATACCTGTATACGCTGAGAGCGTTACCAGCTATTGTGCTGTACTTAGAAATGATCCCCCCCCTCTCCCCCCCTCCGCCCCTAAAAGAAAAAAGAAGCAAAACGACAAGCTCTGAACGATACGTACCATCATATTTGATAAGAGAGACGGGCAGAGCGTTGGGGCGGGTCTCTTTGTCCTTAGCGCCCTCCGTGTATTTGGTCACCTCCACTTGCATGCTGCAGGGGGGGAAGAGGGAGAGCGTGGGAAGAGGATGGGTTGAAGACGAGGGGAGAAAGAAAGGGAGTGAGAAGGGTACACAGGGGTGAGACGATAGGGAATACGAGACGTTGACATTAACGTTTTCATGCTGGCATAGACGGAAACATATTGACGCTGACTGGAAAATGCTGACATTGACGGGAAATTGTAAAAAATCGATGATACTGAACGATAAATGCTGACATAAACGGAAGAATGCTGACATTGACGTTTACATCCTGACTTTGACGGGGAAATTCTCACATACACAGAAAATCGATCACATCGACAGTGACATTGACGTTTAAATGCTGAAATTGACGGAAAACGCTACATTTACGGGAGAATGCTGACATCACGAACGAACCGCACTAACGTGTTGGGCCATGGAACTTTCTCGTTAACATCCCTAACTGTCCGCATGGTCAGAAGGTTCCAGAAACGCAACTTCTCACGTATTCAATAGTTGACAGTCACAGTCGATAATACTCAAAAAACTCACACTCGATACAGTCACGTGATAAACGACCGCCCCGTTGTCGTCCTTCACGCGCGACATGGTGAGAAGGTTCCAGAAGGCCGACCATTTTTGTATTTGAGCATTTTCTCAATACTCGATACAGTCACACTCACCCGATAAACTTAACGACCGTCCCATTGTCGTCCTTAACGGGCGACACGGTGAGAAGGTTCCAGAAGGGCGACCCGTCCTTCTTGTAGTTGAGCAGCCGCCCGCACCAGCTCTCCCCCGCCGCCACTGCCGCGCGCAGCTTCGCGATCTCCGCCTTGTCCGTCTCCGCGCCTTGGAGGAACCGACTGTGCGCGCGCGGAGGGGAAAGGGCAGGGAAAAGAGAGGGGGATGGGTGGGGGAAAGAAGGGGGGACAACGAGGGAGGTTAGAGTGCGGAAGCTGGGTTGGGTGGGGAAGAGGGGGAGGGGAGGAGGGGAAGGGGGGAGGGGGCGGGGAAGCGTCCCAGCATTCCCCCGCACCAGCTCTTTCTGGCCGCCAATGCAAGCGCAGCTTCGCAATTTCCGCCTTGTCCGTCTCCGCGCCCTGCGGAAATCGACTGGCGGAAGGAGAAAGAGGAGAGAGGGAAAAACAGCTGGCGGAAGGAAGGGGAACGAGAGCAAAAATGTCGGGAAAGAGGGGGACATCAGGAGCCGTCCGCACCAGCTCCCCTCCCACATTTCCGCAACAGCTTCCTCCTGTCCCCGCCCTGCGTGCAGCTTCGCCACCTCCGCCACATCCGCCACTTCTGCCTTTGAAAATGTGTAAGCGAGAGCCCCTTTGCGACCTCTTACTGTGGGAACTTCATAAGTCATGGAAACGCAACGTCTCTTGCACGCATGCTTCATGCGCCAGTTGTTTAAACCAAGAGAAAAAAAAAGCAAAAAAACAAACAAGTAAAACCAACGCACAAAAAAAAAACTGTACAATCAAGCTGGCGGAGTAGCGGTGACAAGTTGACCTCCCTGCCAGCCGAGACCTCGACTTTAATTGGCGATTTTTTTATACCGTTTCGGGTGTCTGTTACTAGGGTTGTCGGGCTTCGTCAGTCACGAACCCCTCGTGATGTTCTTGAGATGTCTTTAAGAAAACGACTAGCCAGTTCTTGAGCTGTGTTACCTATCTGATCGCCAATGGCGAACATAAAAGGGTTGCCACGCTACATAAAAATTGGTAACCCGAGTAATACGCACCAGTTTTTGCCGATAGTCTCTTGGGCCGTGTACCCCGTCATCTGGTAAAACCCCTCGCTGGCGAACATGATAGGGTTATCGGGCTTCGTCGCGTCGCACATGACGAACGTCTGCTGAAACGCCGTCAGCGCGTCTTTAAGCTCCGACTTTGAGCTCAGAACCTTCGCGCCGCCAGCATCTCCCCCCGCGCCGCCAGGCTGCACAATGCCTAGAGAGTATCGTCGCGCAGTGGGCACGCTACCGCCGCCGGTCACGCCGGTATGCGTGGTTCCGGCGCTTAGGCCGGCTACGTCTACTTCCGCCATGGTTTCAGTACAGGCTACCCAATTACGTTCCCTAAACAGGTGACGTTTAAAATTGAGTGAAGAGTTGGGTCGAGTTACGACTACCTACGAAGGGAGCACCAATTGACGAGTTATGTGCAATGTCGCTCAAGAAAATTGAATACCGAACGCACTGACAGTTTCTACGAAAGAGTTGTAATTTCGCTTGAAGAATATGGCCAAGACCCTCAGTCCGCCTTCCCTAATTTTGTGACTGAGGAACAGTTGGGATGGGAACTGAAGCGGAAACCCTGAACTCTAAATATTGTGAGAAGAAATAGTGCTAGTAAGGGCTCTACAGAACTTCGTCCGAGAATTCCATGGAGCCTTGAAACAGCACGCGTTCAGAGATTACTATGATTGAACAAATCCAACACCAAGCAGTCATTTTACGCTTGACCAAGAAGACAGCCCTCTGTGCGACCACCTATCATGCTCTTCTGTTGTGGGACAAGGTCGAGGGAACACGACCTACCTGAATACGCAGCTAGGGGTTTGGTGTGTTGGTTGGGGGTGGGCTGGTGATGGTGGTGATGGTTGTGATTCGCTAACCAGACCAAAGGGCGCATTGAACCCGTGAGTTGCGGGACAAAAAGTGGTTGGTATGGGCAGAAGTGGTGACGAATGGCGGCGGAAGTGTTGGTGTAATACACTTATTGTCGGCTACAGTCATTTACCCGATAAAAACATGTTATTTATCTAACCACGTCTCCATGTTTTAGGTTTATCATTGGTGGGTGGAGATTCACTAACTTCACTGTTCTACCATTTGTGTATGCCTTATCCTGTGAATTAACTCTATTAAAACATTTCTAAACTACAGCCTGAACTTGGTTTCATCATATTTCAACCTTTTATAAAAACAAAGCAGACAAAATAGAATACCGAAAATACCTACAACTTCACCCCCCCCTTTATTTATCGAGACATAGCAGCCAATACCCCTCTTCTTGCTACATGATGGGCATTACCGAGTAATAATTGAAAAAGCGTGTATTCCTGGGGTGAAGCAACCGCGAGGTGGTTCGCATGTCTGGGGAAGGCGCTCGGTGGGTATGTTCCGGGTGCGGTGGGTGGTGGGGTGGCGGTGGTGTTAGGGTGGGGAAGGGGGGGTGGCTCTTGTTGGGGAAGCCGAAGTGGGGCAGCTCTGGGGGGAACGGCAGGTTCGGGTTCAGGCAGACAGACGGGCAAGGCAGGCAGCCTGTTGTTTGGGTGGGATGGGATGGGACGCGTGTCTCGCCATCATCAAGTGGCGTGGCATGTCACTCGGTCTAGGCGCAGCGTCGTGTCGCGTGACGACGGGCTGAAACAATGACGAGAGTTGCGCCGCGGTGTTTGCAGCGCGCCTCGAGTATTGCGCCCCTTCCGATATGGGACGTGCGTGAGAACGATTCTTTGGATGCTGGAGCGTACTGTAGAGCTGCTTGCACATCCAATGGATTCCTGGATAGCAGATGCCTGTAATATCGGTTGTTCAATCGAAATCGCTAATGGTCGATGTGATTGATTGTTCCACGTGGCAGCAAGCGAGGAGTGGAAAGACATTGCAAAACGAGTTCCGATATTGGGCGAACCACGCCAAACCGCTTGTAGCGTGTGTTGCAAACTGATATATCCAAACACCATTGGTAAGGAAAACCTTTCTTTCAGTACAATGTTCCGCATATGGCATCCTTTGCCCACCTCGGCCATTATTTCCCATTACCACCTAGCAGATATTTCCCGTCCATTAAATTTTCAGCATATTGCAATATGCCACATGCCTCGGCTACTACTGACGCGAAACCTCGGCGCCAACACATCGTGTCTTAGTGCCCGTTGCCACGACTTCGTTATAAATGTCCACTTGCGTCTTAGCTCGCATGCTGTTCATTGCTTGCCGCGTACGTGGTTCACTGACAGAATTCCAGGTAGGCGGATGAAGTCCCTGTCAGAATGTCAATGTTTGTCTAGCCTGCAGTGGGGTACTCTATAGCGAGTACAACCCAATTAGGGTTTCCTATATGTATCTCAACTGCTGCTAGTGAAAACCCCTCTTTCCTGTTTCTCGTTTTCGCCCGCTGTTTCGACATGCTATCAGAGCAGGTCGACCCTCCTGGGTCGATCCTGTGGATGGGCCCGCCACCTAATGCTTTCGCTGCTGTCCTGCCTATCGCGCGCCCCGGGCGCGCGACGTGTTCTGCTTGCCGCGCGCTCGGGTGCACGGCGGCGGTTTTCTGCCCGCCGTGCGCCCCGAGGCGCGCGGCGGTTTTCTGCCCCGTCGATCCGCGCGTCGCCCCCCGTCGCCCGTCGCAGCGCCCTCGGGGACCCGCGCGTCGCCCCCCGTCGCCCGTAGCGGCCCGCGCGACCTACGCCAGGCCCGCGCGCGGCCCGTACGGCCTGCGCCAGGCCCGCGCGCGGCCCGTACGGGTTGCGCCAGGCCCGCGCGCGGCTCAGGCAGCCCGCGCGCGGTTCGTCCTGTTAGAAACTGAGAGAGAACGAGAATGAATAAACTAGCAGAAAGTTGGGTACAAGTAGGTAACCCTAAGTTTGTTGTACCCCCTATGGCTAAACCCACTATAGCCTACACAATATAAACATATAATGTTTGACACACCCCCATAGGCTAAGTGGGAGACAACCAGACGGTCACAAGACCAGTCAAGAAAGCAAAGCAAAACAAGCTCAGGGTGGATCTCAAGGATACCACACAAATTCCGAGCACAAGCAAGTGGTCACAAGACCAGTTCACATGCAGTTTGATAATAGAACAAGAGGTACAGTGATCACAACCTAGCAAGTGTAAGCATGCAGGTATATATATAGAGATCACAGTACAAGCAGAGTCAAGAAGTGAGCAAGTGAGAGAGAGTAGGCACAAGGCCTAGAACAGTACAGAAACGCTGATGATCACAAGGCTGAAGCGCCTTGGTGAACACATCAGCAGTGTTGGCCCGAGTGGCCACGTACGAGAGACGAAGCTGACCACGCTGCTGCAGCTATCGAGCAAGGAAGTAGCGCAGATCGATGTGCTTCGTTCTGTGCTCCAGTCTGTGCTCCTGACACAAGGCAATGGCTGCCTTGTTGTCGACGTACAGCACTGGAGGAGAACGAGGTCGCTCTCCGAGGTCGGTCAGCAGGTAGGTGAGCCAGCGTAGCTCCTGGGCAGCCATGGCTGTGGCGTAGATCTCAGCCTCACAACTGGAGCTGAGAACAGAGGAAGAGCGTGTAGAACGCCAGGAAACAGAGCCAGAGCCAAGGCTGAAGGTGTAACCCTGAGACGACCGCTGCGTAGCCTGGTCGTCAGCCCAAGAAGCGTCTGAGTGTCCAGTGAGGACAACGTCGCGCCGTCCTCCAAGCACAAGCCCCATGCCCGACGTACTGCACAAGTAGCGCAACACCCTCTTAGCGGCATCCATGTGCTCCTTCCGGTGACGGCCAGGAGCAACATAGCGTGCTAGGATGCTAAGAGGGTATGCAAGGTCAGGTCGAGTGCAGGTCATCAGGCACATGAGGCAGCCCACAAGCTCTGGATACGGGCCACTCGGCTCTACGGACTCATCCGAAGGCAGAGCTGAGAGCGAGTGACCGGTAGGCAGAGGAGTGGGCTGAGGCGAGGAGTACGTGAAGCGGAAGCGCTGAAGGACCTGCTGCACCATGTGTGACTGAGTCAAGGTGATGGTGCGCTGTGCTCTGTCCCGGGTGATCCGCAAGCCAAGATAGCTTGTCAGCTCACCCAGGTCTGTGCACGTGCGTCTCTTCTGCAGCTCCGACTTCACGTGGGCGAGTGCCTCAGTGTCAGCAGTAGCAAAGACCAAGTCGTCGACGTACACGAGAACGTAGAACGGCGGCAGAGTGGTGTCGGTGCGTAGAAACAGCGACGGGTCAGCAGTAGAAGGAGCAAACCCAAGAGCCGCAAGCGTAGTCCTCAGTGTGTCGTGCCACTCACGGGGTGCCTGGCGGAGACCGTAGACTGGCCGCCGGATGCTCCACTGGGTACCAGAAGGGAACGACCCAGTGAAGCCAGGTGGGCGGCGCAGCCAGATCTCCTCGTGCAGGCTGCCCTGTAGGAACGCAGTACTGAAGTCAAGAGAGTGGAGCTCGTAGTCACGCTGAGCAGCGATGTGCAGCGGAACCCGAAGAGTGGTCAACTTCGGGGTCGGGGAGAAGGTCTGGAAGAAGTCAACTCCCTCTCGCTGACTGAAGCCTCGAGCAACGTAACGCACCTTGAAGACAGGCGGAGAACCCGGCGGCCGCTTCACCCTGAAAATCCACATGCCACTGACGATGTTCGCCCCAGGTGGGGGAACCTCGTCGACG